GCGCGCCTCCGTGGCCCCCTGAGCACCGCCCCCCCGGGGCCGGGCGGGGGTTCCCAGGCGAGGACGGCCCCCGTCCCTTCCTCAGCCTCAGCTTGCTGCTTCGGGAACGTCAGGCTCAGGCTGACGTCAAGTGTTAAGGCGCATGAGGGCGGCAGCTTGCCTGCTCCTGAGGACAGGAGCTTCAGTGCTGGGCGAAGCAAGGGCGGACCTCGAAGGGGAGAGCCCTTCTTAAATTTCACGTCAATCAGCTGCGTTGAAGCCGGGAAAAGCGCGGCTCCCTGACTGAACTGTGGGAAGGGCGCTGCTGAGTGCAAACTCTTCCTGACGCTGGGACTGCCTGCGATGATGTAATGAGCAGATAAATCCAAGTGCCGGCTTTAAAATCCTTGTCTCAGCACAAGCCTGTGCCTGTACCTGGAGGTCACAGGACAGTGAGGGCCACGCGGGCGTCGTGGCCAAGAGCTGAACTCTGACACTGCAGAGGGGAGAGTCCCCCAAACCCAGCAGCGCGTTGCGTCACCGTCATCTGGCAAAATAGGTGTGTGGTATCTGGCTTCACAAAATAATTTTCTAAGCTACTTCACAATAAAAATAACTGATGACACTTTGAACGGACAGATGACTCGCTCGCTGACAGCTGGAATTCTAGAGAACGGGCCGTTCTTGTCCAGTGACCCTCCAGATATTTTCCAAATGATAATTTCAGAGGCACATTATGATTTAACTAAAACTTTCTAAAATGCACAAAAAAATGCTCACTCACTTAATTAGGCAAAAAGCAGAAATCTTGTCTTCGTGCTTTATTTCTAAACACTGAGGCTCACATTGCCAAAATCTTTACTTAAAGCCAGAGAAGTACATTTGACCTTTTCCTGGGAACACGCTGTTGACTTCTGCAAGGTAAATGATAACTATATTAATTGTAACCTCCATCTCATTTTGATTCCTAATTAATAAAAACTAAGTAATTTTGATTCGGTGAAGACTGTTAATCAAGTCGATGCTGATTAATCTCTCGACCTCTAGACCACAGTGACAGGGTGAGCTGGGGCAACAGCACACCAAGCTGCTCAGTCTTAGTGGGAATACATCTGATCAACAACATGAAGAAGTGGTAAAATGAAAAGCAGCTCTACAATTTTCGGTTTAGCACTAATCACTATGTGCTTCGATTTAATTAGCAGGCGAGGTCCTGCTGCAGG